AGTCTAACATGGCGGTGGTGCTGCAAGTTCCAAGTTATGACAACTGTTTATTGATTTCTTTCTAAGTGCCTAAGACTTGTTTCACTTATGTGCATTAGCTGACTTAAACTTGACCCTATACTGTGGGTACTACTTATTTTTAACTGAATCATAGTTGATTTATAACATTGTGTTAGTTTCTGGGGAACAGCATGGTGATTCAGTTGTACATTTATATACATTTTTTTCAGATTCTTTTCCAATATAAATTATTACAAGATATTGAATATAGTTCCCTGTGCTCTACAATAGAAACTTATTTTATTTATTTTATGTATATTTATTTTATATATATATTAGGTAGTATCTGCAGATCTCAAACTCCCAGTTTATCCCTTCCAACCTTCTTCCTTCCTGGTAACCATAAGTTTGTTTTCTATGTCTGTGAGTCTGTTTCTGTTTTATAAATAAGTTATTTGTGTCATATTTTAGATTCCACATATGAGCGATCTCATATGGTATTTTTCTTTCTCTTTCTGGCTTACTTCACTTAGAATGACGTTCTCTAGGTCAATCCATGTTGCTTTAAGAGACATTATTTCATTCTCTTTTATGGCTGAGTAATATTCCATTGTGTGTGTGTGTGTGTGTGTGTGTAGCACATCTTCTTTACCCAGTCATCTGTCGATGACAGAAAGTGCAGAAGCTCAGTGGGGAGCTCACTGACTGGCGAGTAATTAGAGCCAACAGGTGGCTGTGACTGGTGCGCCTTGAGCTCCTGTGTCCCAACCCTGAGGCATTTAGAGGCTTAGAATGTGGGCTGTCTTGGTGTCAGGGCACTGGAGCCACCACCGCCTGACGTCCTTCTTGGATTAATTTAACGCTAACAAGTCCCACACTGGTGGTGATGCTTCTGAGGGCCACTCTTTAAGAACCCCTGCCCCGGACGGCCAGGCCCCCTAGAAAGCTGGCCAGTATTACAGCTGCTGAACTTCCGCCGGGTTCCATCCTGTCCTCGAGCACAACTATCCTACTGGGCGTGGAGCTAACGGAATAAACTAGCCTTGCTGCTCCAAGTATTATTTTCACCCTTAATGCAGTAAAACCCCACCCTACGATATGCAGGGATCAGGGGAAAAACAAAGAGTTAAAATGAGCCCTTGCATTTAGGCTGAGTTGCTGAAATGACCAGGAAGGGCCTGCTGGAGGCTGGCGGGGATTCTCAGGTCCAGGGACCCTGGAAAACCACATCATTGCCACCAGCTCAGCAGGCCCCGTGCCACCTGGTGGGGGTCATTTGCTTTATCATTTTCCAGATTTGATGAAATTCTGGCTCGTCTAGCTGTTAGCAGCGTTGGAAAGTGCAGCGGGGCTGTGTCAAGGAAGAAAAAAAGATGGACTTGGTAAAGCAGCACCTCCTCCCTGTGTACTTAGATGTTGTGCAAATAAACTGCCCGTATTCTTCCCTGGTACAGTTTTAAAAAGCATTCGCATTAGGCAGTGCTTTAATTTACATTTTAGGACAGAACCCAAATACCAGTAATTTTAAATTAGAAAGCTTGCTCAGTTTCATCTCGCCAGAATGGTGTTTTTCACAGAAATGGTGAATTTCACAGAAACGATGTCTGCGTCAATTTAGACTCGAATTTGGGGGTCTTTTCAGAAAGACCTTGTTGTGTATTTCTGAGTGAATAACAGGGTTTCTGTTCACTTCCTTCTATAGTTGAGGGATTTGGACAAGGGACCAAAGGCCGACGTCAGTAAAACAGGTGCCAGAGACCCAGCGATCCTGGGAAGGGTGAGCGAGGTCCGAGGCGCTAAGATTTGGGAAGCTGGTTTTGCAGCATTTGCGGGTGAAGGGAGTCTGCGAGCTGGGCAGGGCAGGGGGCTGGCGGGGAAAGAGGCCTCCCCGCCCGCCGTGCTGCTTCTGGGACCTTCCACCAGCTCCACTGAGACCGCCTGGAGAGACGTGTCCTCTTAAATCCGAGCACCAAGGGGGCTCCTCTTAATCCCACCCCTCCAGCCCCAACTGTGGTGTTTGTGTTGGGGGGGGGCAGCAATCCAGGGGTGGACATGGGGCACGTGGCCTGCGAGCATAAGTACACATTACTTTTATAAAGCTGGGCAGGGGAGCCCCGATGCTATGTGCATTTGTGCAGATGATTGCTTTTCTATCACAAAGTCTTTTGTGAACTGGTACTGAATTTCATTCAGCATCCCAAGGAATAAATTAGCATTTGCCCTTTCAGGACAACTTGGTTACAGCGAGATTTCGATCCCTGCCTTGTTAACCCACCTCTTACTCTGGGGGCTTGCGAAGCGTATATTCACACTTTGTATATAAACCTGAAAACACAAAGATACGGATGAACATTTTATGAAGTCTGAAGAATTTCTGCTGGTGCCGGGTATCGTGTGCAGTAATATGATCGTCCGGAAGAGGGCGCGGTGGTTCTGCGCTGACTCGAGTGCGAGCGGGTGAATTCCTGCGTGGTCCCTGCGAGGGTTTATAAAGGGAGGTGGCGGTCTGATATCCCCTTACGCTTCACTTCTCCTTAAAACGCTGCTGAGATGAGAAAGTGACAGCTTCGGGGCTTCTATTGTCTGGAACTAAAAGGACTCTTTACAGGTGATTTGGTTTATCCCCTGTCAGCCCCACCAGTGTTTTTCTATTTGAGGCTCGTTAATTCCAAAGAATGTTCCAGCCACTTCACCAAAATGCTCCTTAGATTGAAGAATCTATAAACAAACCCAATTTTTAAGGGCTTTTTTTCCTCCAAAGCTAGCGTTACCAATGCAGGTGGGTTTAGTATGAACCTTTTGTCGCTGAGGGAACATTTAGGAAATTTGAACATGTAAAGCTGCCCTCCTGCACCACCCTGGCCTTTTTATTTGGTCGTATCGAACACTGAGGTGACTCAAGAAATAGCTATTAAAGCAAAAGGTGCTGTTGCGAAATGGTAAGTTCTATTTCATAATCACACAGATTATTCAGATTATCATTACAATAAATCAGTAACAAAATGAAATTTTAAAAATCAATCTTTTACATGTATGACGTGAGGTTTTCGTAAAAGCCAAAATGCACCGACTGAAATCTCACTATGATATTGATTAATTAAAAACAGATTCTAGATTGAAGCATCTGGCCTTCCCCGCCCTTCATTACTAAAATTTCTGCATTATTTACTTAGAATAATACATAGTTTGATGAAAAAGCAAGTGCACGATGAGGTATGAATGGTTAACTAGCTCTAACAGGCCCTATAAGGGAAACTGTGATAACTGGCCAGTAAAAGCAGAGAACGGATGTGTTTGTAAAGAAAACATTTGTTTCTCTAAAATGTTGAAGAACCTTTCTGGAAGATGGTGATCAGACTTTAAATACTGTGCTCTCTTACAAATGAGGACCTTCATGGTGAGAGCAGAAGGGAAGTTCGGAAGTTTCGGTGATTACATCAGGAACTGCACTTGACAGTGAGGAGCAG